GTTCTCCATGCTCCCATAACAAATCAATACTTCTGGGGGTACTGAATTGAAGATTGATAGTTCTTTGGTTCAAGTCAAAATTGAGATCTGTGAATGTATGAGTGGGTCAGCCCTATAAACGGGTGTGACAGAAGTCGAATTCTTGGTCATAGATGGCACCACTGAAAAACAAGAAGAATCACGCCCCCTCTGTATTAATGGCCGGTGACAACAACAACAATTATTATTAATTTACCTATAATTTATCATTAAGAATAAATTATAATTAACTTATAATTAACTTATTTATAAGCTAAGTTTAAAACTTGTTTTTAATCAAACTCTTATTATTAAACTTATCATTATCTTCCCTTACAAACATATAAGAGTACACATACATTTTAATAATAGCTTCGTGAAGCAACTAGCATTTAAATGAGTTAGAAATGTCTGATTTAATTCTAATTTAATGAAATGTGACATTCTCTAAAATTCAGATAATGGAGCAAAAGTCTCCAGGAAATGTTCACTAAACTATAAATCCACTCTGATTCGAAGAAATTTATCCGCTTTTAATGCAAAATGGCTCTGCTTTCAAGCCATCTATTTCGGAGAAATTTCTGCTTTTAGGATTGTTTGACTTTATTCAAATGCCTGGAGACAAACGAACATCTTCCATACACATTCTAGTTTTATAAAGTTTGTTTTATTTCAAAGAATAAAAGAAAATTTAAAAAGCACTTCTATTCAATTTCCCAAAATAAAGAAATTATTTTATCAAAACAGTTTTATATTTGCGACTCGCCAAATAAAGATTTTTAATGAATAATGGAATAAATTGTATACAATTATTTCCTAATAATTTAAGTTAAAGTAGTATTTAACCCTTTGACGCAGATGTGTTTCTTTCATTTAATTTTTTTTTTCCTAAAGCTCTAATTAGATGAAAAATACATTTTGGTATTTTTAAATTGTGGAAAAAAAAACAGTTACTATTAAGTTACTAAAATAATAATTTCAAATATAAGACATATTTAAAAGTCTTCTTTCCAGGAGCTATTCGACTGATTTTGCTTAAATTTTCTATTTCTTCATTAAAAATTACATGGTTAAAAATGATGTAAGAGATTGTTTACCATACAATTCAAAAAATTTTATTAAAATAACTATTTTTAAATAGAATAATAAAAAACAATAAATCTTTTCTAAATTTTATTTTCTGCATAAAATTATCTTTGGATAAAAGAGTTGTGTATAAAAATCTTTCAATTCACTTAGAAATTTATCGGGATATGACGAATTACACAAAAAGTAAAATTAACATTATGGAGTCCCAACATTAGATCATTCCCCTACACCAGTGTTTCCCAAACATATGACTTTCGTGTACCCTTTCTAAATTTTTCGTAACGCTATGTACCACTAATACGAAATGAATGTATTTTTTACTGTAAAAAAATTGCCCAAAAGTTAAAAATCACAATTGGCTGTTGATGCCCCTAACTTTTAACTGTTAACTCTGCAATAAATAGCCAATAGAAAAATACGTAATAGTAAATTTTTATGGCTAGCTTTGCTTTTAAATAAAATTTTGTGAAATTTTCGTTTGCTGCAAGATGTGTCGCATAAGAACACGTACCCCCGCTAAACTGTTCCCGTACCCCTGGGGGTACGCGTACCACACTTTGGGAAACACTGCCCTACACAAACTATTGAGACCATATTTTCAAGATTGCAGCTACCCCTATGTTTTGAGTGTTAGAATTCCGAATTTGGCAAAAAAAATTCGTGTTTATTCAGAGAAATTGTCTGATATCGTAATTTAAAATATCGTCTGCACTAATTAATTAGCATATTTGAGGTCATCCCCTCGAACCATTAAGATTGAGTTCTTTAACGTGAAGATCCGATCATTGTATTATTTAAAGTAAAATCAACAATTAATTTTTAATTTAAAAATGCCTTCTCAAGGCTGGCTGTGTCTTCTCATATTTATTTCATTTTGAATTCGATAGCAATGAACATTAGTTACTATAATGAGGTATCCTATAACTCTTATCAAACTTGAGTGTGAATGAATAATTTTTTTTAAAAAGGAGAAAGAAATTTTTTCATGAAATTTAAAAGATAGCTTCTGCCATCATGTAATTGTTAATACTGTATTAAAAATATTGATATTCATCTTGAAGGGTTAATTAAAGATATAATTTTTCTCCATTAATGAGGTTATCACAAAATTTTGTATCGTAAAAATTGACCCTTTATAAAATATTTAATGGTAAAAATAAATCTTTCATAAGACACTTAGCGAGGAAGCAAATACTTCGCACATTATTTCATCTTAAAAACATATTCTACAAGGCATGTTTGGAAAAAAATAGGACCTGATTCATTGAAAACAGAGCCTAAGCAGAAAGAATCTTGTTCTAAGTTAGTTTTAGATTCAGAAGCCAGAAAATTTTTCCAAAATTCACAAAAGAAGGACCTTTAACAGAAAGTCTGGACAAACCATTGTTTTTTGTGATTTTTCACAAAACCTCAAAAACATTATCCTATTTTCTGAAACTCCCAAAATTATGAATAGATCTTTCACAAAAACTAGGCTTTTTACAAGTCAAGAATAATCATTGACTCTCGTAAAAAGGAATATTTTTTTAAATGTTTTCATAATATTACACAGAAAATTTGTTCCTTCCTTATTGCAATAAAATTATGGATAATTTTAAGATCTATATAGTAAAATAAATAATATTCATGAATGCTTGCTGTATTTCACTTAGTTTCTTATAGCATTTTCTAATGTTAAAAAGTGACTGATCATTTTTAACCAACTGAAAGAATAACAAGGGATTACTGATCGTAAAATAAATACACTTGCCTCCATCTAAACAGTTTAAGCGAAAGTTGATTACAATTGTGCAGAAAATCAATTATCATGCTATTAAAGCTTAAACAGCTGCTCAATTCTTTATTCAGCTGTCAATTCAGTCTTACATACGTAGCTCTGTTTGGATGTATTTACTGACGAAAATCCGCTTGCTATTTCACATTATAATTACTTTTATAAAACAAATATTAATATAAAACATCTGTCTTCTTTTAGGTTACTTTCGATCTTGATTCAAGTAATTTTCCTTTCCCTTTTTTATGTTTCATAAAATGTTTTTAAATACATCGAAGCATTTCTTTACAATCATTATTTTTCAAAAAATTAATGATTTGTTTAAAACGTCCCTTAATTGTATACTTAAGTATTTTAATTCTTAGAAGTAGTTCACTCAATTTCAATAGCACTTACAAATACAGATGTTACTTATATGAAGGAAACAAACAGTCTTGCTTAATCTTAAAAGTTATACCCACCGTTTTTATTATTATTAACATTTTAACGTTCTGCATGTTATTAAATGTTTTTGGCATAAAGTTTCAGATCATTCGAAAGAGAATATTGTATTCTACCGGAATCTGTTTTTTTTCTCTGCGTCGATTTATTTTAATTTTCAGATCATTAAAATAAAATGACGTTTGTTTCAGAAAAACGAACATTTTAGACACTTTTTTTTTATTTGCTTTTAATTAAAGTTCTAAGGCTGCAGGATCTGCTGGTGACATTTGTGCCTAGTATGGAGAGAATATCATTATTTTAAGGTGTCACCATGTTTGGTATGCCAAGTTTAAAAGCAGAAATTTAAACCTCAAATACGCACCTCGTCGTGTTCAGTTGAAGTTGATGAAAAGCGAATCAAAATTAACATCACAAATTCCTACACAAAAATTCGTACCAATCGACTAAAGAACTAGTAAATAAAATAGACTACTCTCATTCTTCGAAGTTTTAGCAAATTTTAAAGAAATTGCTGCATTTTTGTCAAAGCTAAACTTTTTGTAATCGCAGTTTTATTTATAAGCTGAAATTTAAACCTCAAATACGCACCTCGTTGTGTTTCAGTAGAATTTGATGAAAAGCGAATCAAAATTAGCGTCACAAATTCCTGCGCAAAAATTGGTACCAATCGACTAAAAAACTAGTAAATAAATTTGACTACTCCCATTCTTTGAACTTTTAAAAAAATGTAAAGAAATGGCTGCAATTTTGTCAACGCTAAACTTTCTGTAATCAGTTTTATTTTAAAATTGTTTTTATGAAAAACAGAGAAAAAAAAGAGGAAACATAATTTTCTTTAAAAAAAAAAGATTTTCTTCGAATAATTCTATCAATTATCCTTGAAAGAAAGTAAATTTAAATCAATAAACCTTAAATATTTTTTGTACATTTCTGAGATAAAATTAAACAATTCTTTTAAAAAGTACTAAAATCATAAATATTAAGAATCCGTTAAACTTTTAATTGTTTTTTGATAATAGATTGCTAACAATTGGTAACAAATTTAAAAATTGCTTTTTTATAAACAAATGTTTAATCCTTATCAGATTTATATTTATTGTTAGGAATTATATATTTCTTATACATTTTTGCAAAAAAAAATATTTATCGGCCAATTGATTTTTCTAAAATTTTCGTAAAAAAAATATTTAAATTTAAAAATAAATAACCCATGAATATTTAAAGATTTTGTGTAATATTGTTGTAATTACTCAGTGCAAGAAAGTAAATTTAAATGAATGATTTGTGATTTTTTCAATGAAAAAATTTCAATTGAAAGTTTACATTTTTACAGAATATAACTAATTATACCAAACTCTGTTTGAATTATAAATACAATATTTTTATGCATTTTAAAAATTGGTTAAAAGCACTCCACTTCTATCTTAAAACAATCGGTGTTTGATAAAATATTTTTCAAATGATCAAGATACCATGAATTTAGCTGTGTATATAAAATATCATTAAATCATTGGATTATTTAATATCTGGTTCTTAATTGCTAATTACTGTGAACATGTAAAGCTTTTTAAACTGAATTTAATTTGAAAAATTTTTGAAACTTGCGAAAACAGATATATAAGAAATAAATAAAAGTAATTTGAAATTAAATAATTGTCTATCACTTCATTTCCAGGTGCCTGGCAAACGATTTTAAAAGGTTTATCAGTATTTGCCGTCATCAGTAACGTAAGTTATGTTTAATTATGTTTATTGTTGTGTTTTACTATAAAAAAAATGCTTTTTTCCGACAAAATATTATAGTGAGAAATGTCTTGAAACGGTATTATATTAAAATAAAATTACTTAGGTGTTAATTAGATACCTGCAAGTGACGTCAGCGTATTTATCGGTCCTGATTGGCTGTTGAAACGGGGAAAAGGTTTTTTGTTAGCAACTGTTCTTTTTATTCGATTTCGAGTAAGCCCCCAACTATGAATTCTTTTAAGTGACTCATTTTATATTCTTTCACAAAGAAAGATTTGATTTATTTCTTACTTAATACGGTGACTGGTTCAAAGCCATGAAGAATATAAGCAAACTAATTATGCAATGAAGTTACCAGATACACAAAACAAAAATAATCGTGGTTGCAATAAAATACAAACAAATAATCCATGTAGCTTAAATAAAAAACGTGGACAGGAAAGAATGATATTTTAACAAATTCGATTTACACCACAGCATTGTATTTAATTAACATCTGGTAAATTAACATTCTAATTTATTTAGAGAAAGCGCCAATCTTGTTTATAAACAACCACTGGCGCTAAGGTCACAGATGAGGCGTCTGTGTATCCGTGATCTTCTTACCTAACGCAACTGTTTACCAAACAAAACCTGACGAAAATCGCTAAGCTTCGTAACATGTAATTCGAACAAATAAGATGAGAATATAGAAAAAAAGCCTTGAAATTTAGAAAAAAATCAATTTGCGAAGCAGCAGACTAAACATTGTAAATTTCTTTTCATATATAGGCTTGCTGATTTAGGTTATTTATTATTATTATTATGTTTTCTCGGTATATTTCATTTTATTAATGAGAGCTACATGTAGCGAAACTTATAATAACGAAGCCTGTCAGTTAACTTCAATTGATAGAAATAAATTCGCCTTTGGATACAAACGTAGCTTTATTTTGGCGACCATTTTGATGAAATAATTTTACCTGGTTCCTTAGCCAACGGAAATTTACCGAAATGTGTTATACGTCAAACAGTTGAATAAATATGTGTAACTGCTGATAAATATTTTCAAAAAATGTGAGGGAGTTGAAAGTTATGAGTGTATTCATGATCTTTTCGTTGGCATAAAGAAGATATTTAATTTCATTTTCTTTGCAGGCATTTATGATCGCGTACACGAGCGACTTCATTCCCCGCTTGGTGTACGTGTTTGTAACGAGCGAGAATCGAACCCTGGACGGATACATCAACAATTCTCTGTCAATATTCCGTACAAGTGATTTCAATAATATTACAGCTCCCGAAATGCCTGATATTAAAGGAAAGATGATCGATATATGCAGGTAAGATATTAAATCACTATCTCAAATCTAATCAATATCTAAATAGATATCTAAACTATCCAATGGATATCTTTATCATCGCATCTTAATCATTTGAAATCGACTAATGATTTCACAAATTTCTTTTGAGAATAAAATTTTGTTTTCTTAAATAGAAGGCAGCAAACCATTTACTCCCATTTATTTTTATTTAATAGACTTTTTAAGTAGTCTGTCATTTTAATAAGAAAAACAAGGAGAAAGGCCCTTTTTTATAATAGATGAAATCTACATGATTATTAATTATAAAAATAATAAGTAACAGAAAATAAATAAAATTATGGTTTATTAGTAAAAGCCTGTAAAAATATTAAATTGAATTTTATAAATTCTAAGCCGATCCAAAACACATCATTACTTTGTACTGAATTTTCAAATTTACATTCAATATTAATGAACATTTGAAAAAATTCTATTTCAAGTTGAAACTTATTGCCGTTTCTTGGAATTGCTAATTATTTTTTCTTTATCTTTACCTTATTCTGGGACTAAAATAGTGACTATCTTTTCTGCTCAAAAAACTTTTTTGTGATGTACAATTTGTAAAAAAAAGTTGTAGAAAGTCTCCAAAAAAATTTTTGTTTACTACCTTTGATAAAAAATCTGTTGATTTTGCGAAGAGGAAAAAAAATCCTTCCATATAAAAATTAGCAGAATAAGGTAAAATTTACCGTGTTTTATGGCTCTATAGGAACAACAAAAGGTACGGTAATTTTTTTCTAAGTGATTTGGTAATAGCATTTGATAAAATTAACTCTAAAATGTGATTTTATTATCATGTTCTTCGGTAGTAAGAGAGGTAAAATTTGGTAATTGTACCAAAAAAAAGAGTTGATAATTTTAAAAGTACTGGTATAATTTGAGACAACGAAAAAAATTTCAGTTAATTTACCTCTCTTTAATTCAGTTAAATGCGCGTTAATTATATTTTTGGCTACACTAGATGCGTCTTGTCTTCATCTTCTTTTAGAATTTCATCTTCTTTTAGATTTTTTTTAATTTTTCAAGGGCTAATAATGTATCGTTCTTTGTAATTAGCATACAAGCCAACACATGTGTGTAACTACACTGAAGCGCCAAAAAATCTGGTACAGGCATGAGTATGCAAATAAAGGAGTATGGAGCCAATCAAAGTACGGCAACGCGTATATAAGACAACGAGTGTCTTGCACAGTTCTTAAACGACAGTACTACAGGCGCCTACGGACACTACATCATGATGAAGGAGTGGAGTGTCCGCTTCGCGGACAGGTGCTCCGTATATAACCTCAGTCAAAGTCAAGCACAGTTCTTAGATCGGTAACTGCTGCTACAATGCCAGGTGATACAGATATAAGTGAGTTTGAAGGTGGTGTTATAGTCGGCGCACAGGAGATGGGACATAGCATCTCCGAGATAGCAATGAAATTTGGATTTTCACGTACGACCATTTCACGAGTATACCGTGAGTATCGGAAATCCACCAAATCCCCAGACATGAACATTATTGAACATATTTGGGATGCCTTGCAACGTAATGTTCAGAAGATATCCTCACTCCCTCTTACTCCCACTGGTTTATGGACAGCCCTGCAGAATTCATGGTGTCAATTATCTCCAGCACTACCTCACACATTGATCGAATGCATGCCACTTCGTGTTGCGGCACTTTTGCGTGCTCGCGGGGGCCCTACACGATATTAGGCAGGTATACCAGTTTTTTTGGCTCTTCAGTGTATAAATAAACGCATAAATACTTTGAATAGTATTTTTTTGAAAATTATTATTTTTAAAGAAGCCTCCCTAACAAAGAAGTCTCTTCTTTTAGCCAAATGCTATTTATAATGGACGTAGCGGGTTCGAACCAAACTGTAACCCTAGATGTGTTTCAATAAATAAATTCAGTTTAAATACATACACAGTTTTATGTGTTTAAAGCAAAGAAAGGTTAGTCTTTTGTCAAATTGGAGAACAGATAGCACATAAATCAGAATAAACATCACAAAGATATTGAGCCTGCTATCTTTACGCTTCAGATAATTTTATTTTATTTTATTTTATTTTATTTTATTTTATTTTTTTGTATAACCGACGTTGAACAGCCAACCCAATTTTGGGTTAATGACTACTAATATTCAATTCTGTAGCCTTGTAATTCTGAACTCAATCCAGAAGACAAAAAAACTCATGAAACTCAAGTGGAAGAAAAATATTCAGCGGCAACAGAGGCCCCAATAATGTATGGTTATTTCACTTGCAAAAAATTTTAAGAAACTTTCTCACCGTGCAATATAGTTGTTTTGCTAACCGCTTAGAAGCGTAGAAGTAGTGTGTTCGAATCCGCTTTAGCACAGGATGTATATTCTCGCTGTCTTTCTCAAAATAGTGTTTTACTTGAAAAGAGTTTGTAAGCCGTTCTTTACATCTCATGAACATGTACAAAACAGACACCATATATCTGACTTCAGACTTAGACTTAGAGCTTGGGAAGCTCCAAGAGCAGGACACATCAACCAGAGGTCTATTATACCCAAACCCTAAATTATGATTAGCAAGAAAGCCCTATAGCTGAAATAAAGTTAAGCAAACACCTTGCAAGAACATCTTGCTGTTCCCTGGCTTTAATACAATGTTGCCCAAAATGCTCAAATCTTTCAGAGAATAGACCTCACAATCATAAAGTATATGTCATGATGGCTCTTCTTAAAGGTGACAACCTCTGCCAAGTGGATTAGTTTCAATACCTAGGTGTCTCCTGAAGATACAGTGTCCAGTGAGAAGTCTAATGATCTTCCTCAAGCTGTTCCTGTTTGGCTTTAGAAGCTATTTTTGACGTACACTGAGACAGTTACGAATATATCTGACTTTAGTATCTTTAAATAAATATGTGAAACAATTATCCATGTCTTTTTTTCTGATAATTAAGAAATACATTAGGAAAAGAAATAATTAAAATTCACCTATCTTCTTTCAACTATAGAGTTGGGTATTGATTCGATGATTCGAATCGGTGACTCGAATCACTTGAGAAAAAAAGCAATTGAATTACAAAAGCAATTCGGGGGTTGGTGAACGAACCAAGCAGGGTCTAATCGTAACTTGTCTTGCACTATATTCGTATCAAAATTAAAAAGATATTTGAGTCATCCCTTCAACAGAAAGGCAAATAGGAAGAATAATTTAATAGCTATTTTTAGAAGACGATAAAACGATATGCATAGGGCAAAATAATGGCATATAAATACTGCCAAAAAAATGTAAAATATATATTTTTTCAATTCAATTTTATTATAGATAAATCATTTTTATCAATTTCATTATCATTCTAATCAATAAGTGATTCAAATCGTCGAAGTGAATTGATTCTATCGATTCGAATAACTTTGGTGATTCGCTTTGCACAACTCTAATCAGCTATTTTAACAAATCGCCATCCTAAATAAACCAAATGTAAGCAGATTTTAACTATTATATTTGGTAAGAGGCATAGATATCAAAAAGTAAATATTACCAAATTAATGGCAAAATGAATGGCAGTTGGGAAGATCATTTTGGTAGTTTAATCATGATACTTCAACTTTAGAGCATTGTATTAAAGCCATCTATTTGGTTAAATTTACTTTCCAGTTTTGTGCTTTTACTAATTGGGCGACAATACGAACTATAATTTTGAAAAATAGAAATTCCGGTAAACAGTTACCAAGACGAATGAATAGTTTTTACATTTTGGTTTAATTACAATAATTGTAATTTCTATATCGAAATGTCCTTACAAGTACGGTAATTTAGAAAAAAATATTTCGCCGTGTACGTTTCTCAAAGGTCTTATATTTTATTCCAAGCTCCATAACGTAAGAAAAACCATATTATCTTCTATTTATTAAAAAGAAAACTTATTTATTAGAGATCAAAGATTTGGATAGACTATAGGGAAACCTTAATTTAATTTTCTCAACTTAACGCATTTTATGAATGAATAAATGAATGAGTAATGAATTAATTTCTTTAAACTACTCTACTAATTTTTGAAAATTCTGAAACTTCACAATGATTATCTAATTAATAAATTAGTTAATAAACATTAAGGAATGTTTTAACATTTATTATAAAAATTATTTTCGTGTCATACATCATATGTTTTCAAAAAATATATTTTGATCGAAAATGTATAAACAAATGCCAGGTGTTTACGGTGAAATTGCATATAAATATGATCACTATATGTTTGTTGAAAGGCTCAGTAAACATCTCCTCTAGTGGTGAAATCCAATCATCTTTTCATTATATGTCTCTTAACGGAGACTGCAAAACTGAAGGGAAGTAAAAGAAATAATCTTTAATATTATTTAAACTTGTAGATCCAAATTTCCATACATTTTGTTCTCAGCAAAATAATGTACATCGCGAGAAATTCATTCTGTCACAAAGTTGGTTGAAATCATAAGTGCCTTCACGTTTTTCTTTGACTACGCAGTTGTTACAGGAAATGAAATTTGAAAATGTATAAAATGTTGAATAACAATTGTTTTAAAGTGAAAAATAAATATAGAGAGTATCTATATATTTATTATTCACTTTATCATATACACCTACATTATGACCAACCTGCTAATAACATGTAGGACCACCTTTAGCCCTCAAAACTGCTAGCACCCGCCGTGGCATTGATTCCACAAGGTGCTGATAGGTAGTCTGAGGTATCTGGTACCAAGCGCTCACCAACTGGTCCTGCAATTCCCTCACATTGCGAGGGGGTAGCGTGGCAGCACGAATTTGGTTTTCCAAGTAGGACCACAAATGCTCTATTGGATTAAGGTCAGGTGAATTTGGGGGCCAAGACATGACTTGAAAGTCACTGGAATGTTCCTCGAACCAATCCATGACGATTCGACCCTTATGACATGGTGCATTATCCTGTTGGTAAACACCATCCCCCGCAGGAAAAACTGTTGCCATGAATGGGTGAACTATATTCAAGTAGC